ACTTATTCATTGACATCCTCCGTTATAACCTGAATAGTAGCGACATCAGTTAGCTTAATTTACATAGGTTCAATCATGAATTTCAATAGTGAAGACAGATTTTATAGTTTCTATAAAACTATGAAATTTATTTCTTTATATCTTGTTTTAGCTTTATATAATTAATAATGATTTAAGATTCACCCGAAACTTTGAAAAGAATTTACATGTAATATGAGTCCAAATTCCTATAAAGAATAAATGAGACATTTTCAAACAAAACAAAACAATTTTTACATTTCAAGGTAAAAATAGTAAATGAAAACAACTTGTGCAACCATGAAACTGTAAATATTTAGTAAGCAAGTTATTACTCATGCAAACTAAAACTCGTATTGAGCAATATTGGTTTTCATTAATTTTAAGTTAATTGTTTTACCTAAACCAGTGCAGATAAGCACTATACAGAATAAAACTGTGCTCTTCTTCTTGCCGCCAAAGGGCGCATGCACTTCGATATTAATATTGAATAACGTGGAATTCCACCATTTCCAAATAACCAGGTCATATCTCTCGAAACAAAACACGACTTACAAGTTTTACCTCAAAATTCTCGATAAATGAATCACAGAGAAGAATGTTATCCTCAGTTTAAAAACAGATATTACAAAAGTGAAGATTAAACTCACAAGAACAGAACAACGTCCAACTACTATTGATCCTACATTTTGGCCAACTATAACTGTGCAGCGTATTCTTTATATAAAATAACGTTTATTACGGTTTATTAATTTATTAAGAATTCGTATTGTGTATTTTTATACATCGTAGTATTAAAATATATATGAAAAGACATCCAATGCCAAAGAAAACAAAACAATTGACTTAAAAAATAAAAAATAATAACATTGAAACCACGATAATAGTTTCTAGATTTATTGAAAAGTTTTCTTTAAGCTAAAATCCATCGCTTCTGTTTTGCATAATGTGTGTTTCGTCTATTGTTACACAACGTTCGCGAACTTGTTTAATATAATCTGAAATTTTGCAATTGTCAAATATTTGTGAGAATCAATTGCAAAGGTCTTATTTTTAAACTAAAGACTTTTTTCCGTGAAAACTGTAGCTTTATAATGCGGCTGAAACTCACTAAAAACTTTAATACATTACAAGAACAAACAAATACTCGTATGTAATTTTGCTTTAACACAGTACATAAACAATCTGTATCAATTATAAATACTGAAGAAAATTCCATTAGCTTATCGAAATATACATTAAAAATGCATTATAAAATACCTGAAGTCACACCATTAAATTGTGGTCCATCAAGCTACCAGAAATAGAAATGTCTAGAATTTTTAAATAATGTGATACCATTATATTAATAAATAAACACACCTGATTTATATTTGCCGAGTTAATTGTCTTTATTCTAACGTTTTCAGTCTATTTGTATAGGCCATCTTCAGGCTTTAATGTTGTTCNACCCCTCCGTTTGTTACGCTATTGGCAATCATATAAAATACTATCTAATAATGCGTGTTATATTGATTATATCAATGTTGTCTTACAGATGTTCAATCTACGTTCTACAATATCATGAACAAGTAAGAATAATGAAATTTAGTAAATTTAAATCTTACTAATATATTACTAATTTATGTTTCAACTATTTGATTTTTCAGTTTATTTCTCCACAAATCTCAAGAACCAACTGTAAATATACATCATTAAAATTTACTCAAATTCTTCTATTGATAGACATTCAAGAGCAGAAGTGGCTTATGTTAACTAATTACACTGTTTAATTAACATTGTATATCATTACTCTCAATGGAATATGAATGACACTTTAGTAATCGACTACCAGACCGATCGGTATTAACCATATAAAATCAACGGAATTAGTCAGATGAGTGAGAAAAGGGAACGACATTCAAGACCTTTAATAGGGACTGTGACAAACTTATGAAGCTCTTGATAAGGTTCAAATCTTTAAAGCGAGAATTTAAAGCGGAAACTCAAACCGGAGATGATGGCTATCCCTTGTACAGAAAGTCAAAACCAAAAAGTGAAGGATTTTTCACAATAACGAGAGTGAAAACTAACAGTGCATATACTGAAATAGAAATAGACAACAAATGGACAGTTCTTTGCTCACATTTGCATTCAATATTGATCTAGTAAGCGCTCCATATCATTACTGCGACATTAGTAAATAGCACTCATCTGCCTGGGGTAGAAAGTGTTACACCATACAAACTATATAAGTAATTAATTTCTCACATCTAACAACTCGGGTAATTTCCTTTCTAAAAAGTACTTTGTTAATACTAATAATTTCTTATTATTAAACTAGCTTTTTCTAAGGACATAATTCCCTTGTAGTTTTAGACATAGTAATAATGTTCTTAAAATGAGTCATGAGCTGGACCATCACAACCTATTCAATGCAAATCAAATATTAATTTACTCGGAAAACTTCCTAAAAGCATCTTTACATTTCTAGGTTATACTGTGAAAAGTATTGTTTTTTCATTTCTGATATTAAAGTCAAATTACTACATCTAAAAACTCGGATATTTTTCTTTTAAACAGTATATTCATATAATTAATAATTTATTATATTTTAAACTTTTCTTTTATGATCCTGGGTAACGCCGAGTAAGCTAGTAAATTTATAAATTTGAATCTTTAGGATGTAGATGCAGGTACACTTGACCAAGCTCCTGAGTTTATTGTGGTAAGTGTAATCCTATGAATAATAATATGAGCGGATCGCGGAGATAACTATTTCAACGCACGCAGACAATCGAAGAACTACAGATATTTTTGGTTGTCGATTTTCATAAGAATACGTCGGGCCATATTCTTTTTCATCAGTCGAATCTAAGATGAGGCTGCTTGAGTGGCACTTGATGACCCTTAAGATGGACATTTAAAAGACATTTCCTTTACAGAACTTCTTACAATTAAATTTATTCCGGTTAGAATTTTGTTCCTATTGCTAATTTTTCCATGAATGTCGCAGGATATTGCTGAAGGAGATGAAGGAAAAAAGGAAAATAACGAGGTAAGAATTGAGGAAAAATTATTCTTTTACAATTTTATATAGAAATTACTACAGAAAAATTGAACGACTTTTAAAATCATGCATTTTTTAATACGAGCATTAAACAATAAAAATTAATTCAAAAACTTTTGATTTTGAAATCACTGTCTTTTGTATAAAAATACAGGATGTTCGAAAAATTAGTTAACTAATAAAAATTAACGTCTAGGTTCCCGTTTTTGACTAGCCGGTTGTCCCATAATGGACATGAAAAAAGGTCCTCTTACTCGCTTCTCTGAAAAGGAGTGTTAAAAGTAAAACAGTGGTTTACCTCCCTCAGAAAACCATAAATATATATGATTTAAACAACAAAAGAATTGAAAAACACGTTTTTTTACAAATCACTTAATTTATATTAAATTTATATTGTGCGCGTTATACGAAATATTAAATTTTGGGTTTTTCTTAGCCGGGACACCAACGTAATCATGTTCTTTGCAATTGAATATTTTTTAAAAAAGTAATTTTCAGCTATTCTAATATTTATACCTTGTTTCCCTGAAAATAAGACTGTGCCTTATATTAATTCTTGTTCTGAAAGATGCGCTAGATCTTATTTTTCTACGAAAAAGAATTCACATTATTAAACAAAAAAATTCCCAAGTCGAACTTAGACGAAAGTGACGTATCGAAGTCACGAACCGAAGTAAACTTACGAAGTTCTCATGCTGTAGTGGACTGCCCACTCTCTATTCCAGTGTTTTTTGACCTTCTTGAATACGCTACCCCTTTACATTTTAAAAAATTCTGGCGACCCATTAAGGCCATATTAAAACTGCATCAGTGATTTTAAAAACTATGTATTTAATTTTCTTTCTGTTGAGATAAATTATTGTTGATTAAAATGAAAATTTCAGAAGAATCGAAAATAACTTAATGGAGTTTATTTACTATAGTTGAATAATTTCGATAATTATAATTCGAAGTTCAATTTTCTTTAAAACTTTTTCTGCCCTGTGGGCACTGAGAAAGCCTTTCTTACCAAGTCTATTATAATTCGATGAGGCCCACAGCAGGGCCCGACATATCCAGACGGACTACTCCCGAAAAACTCCTGGNAAGGGCTTAGGGACAAGATGCGAGTTTCAAGATCAAAATAAAGAAAATTAGATTTATTAATACAATTCAAAGTTTATTCGTTAAATCACAAACAAATTATCATCAAATGCAAGCAACCATGTTTTCTTGAAACTATCACCTTTTGTCTACTGGGACTCGCCACTCCGAAGGTTCGTTACAATTCTCCTCTTTTTCACTCTTACTCCACAAATCATCGTCCTCTGGTCTGTTGAGTGAATTCAAAATGCGGTATTTCCTCAATTACTGCTATCAGCTTTTGAAGATTGCTTTTCCACACACCTGATACCCATTTAGCAAAACCCAAAGATTATAATACACGTAACAGAAAAAAAGTTTATTTTTAATGATTCAGAATGTACAAATATTTATCAGAAATACCAATTTAACAAATATGATAATACAGTAGAGCGTCGTTTATCCGAAAGTCGGTTATCCGAAAGAATTCCAGTTGGCAAATTTAAATATTCGCTAGTGCTGTGGCGCTGCAATCTTTGGCTATGTCTTGGGCTACTCAAATATTTTACGTTTTTGATACTAAATTAACTTCTGAAGTATAATTTTTTATTGTTTTTATATTTTTCAATATATTTATTTTGTTTGTACAAAATAAAAAAATAATTTTTAACGATACAATAGTCTTCGTTAGGCTTAACATCGACGAAAATTCAACGCGAAGCGACACGTAACGGAAAAAAATTTCAACATAGGATACATTAAAATTAAACTATTTTTTCCTACATAATCGGTTATCCGAACAACCCCAGTCCCCAATTGATTCGGATAATCGACGCTCTACTGTATTTAATTTACTTTAATAGAATCATCTGTGACGGAGAAGAGAACCGTAGAAGATGTAGCAGATGCACAGGATTTTGAAATAGATTTTACACCACCATGTGCGGTAATTGAATGTGTGATAGTGACGGATAGTTTCATGTCTACATATTTTAGCGAAGAAGAAATAACACCATATCCAAATAAGATAATTCGTATGGTAAGCTTTAAAAAGTTGATTTGTTAGGTAATCAAACTTCTTCAATTCTTTATTATATTAATTTTCTTGTGTTTCAGTCACAGGAAAGGTATCTCGATGAATTATAACTCAATCTAACATTTCGTTTGATTGGACATATCTCCTATACAGTAAGTTAAATGGTAGTGAGAGATATCATTTATATTTCGTTTTTTCTTTATGTATATTTTAATTTCAGAGCAAAACCGAACCGAATTACAATAAAGAAAGTCTCTATTCGCCCGATATCATCGCTGGTAGTGTCCTTTCTAAAATGATTGAGATTGAAGACAGTCCCGTTGTATCAAGAGCCGATATTATTGTTCTTNATTTTGTTTTAATCGATATAAATTCCATTACAGGAAATTCAATTAAAATTAAGCCAAGATTCGATATCCTTTATCGATAATAAATTATTATTAATACTTAAATTTCGATGTAATTAAGACGACATTTCAAATCCAAAGATGAATTGTTTAATTACATTTGCAATGGTTTTCTCCATTAATATAGTGGATACTTATGAAAAAAGTTTCGAACTCAAGCAATCGAAAAGTAAGTGTATTTTATACATTTTCTCGGATTGACTATAAGAGAAACGGATATAAAAATAGTAATACAGTAGAACGTCGATTATCCGAAAGTCAATCATCCGAAACGTCAATTATCCGAAAGAATTCCAGTCGGCAAATTTAAATTTCCGCCAGTGCTGTGGCGCTTCAATCTTTGGCTATGTCTTGGGCTACTAAAATATTTTACGTTTTTGATACTAAATTAACATAATTTTTTATTGTGTTTATATTTTTCAATATATTTATTTTGTTTGTACAAAATAAAAAAATAATTTTTAACGATACAATAGTCTTCGTTAGGCTTAACATCGACGAAAATTCAACGCNTCTTCGGTGTATCCCATAAACACCATCATGAGGAACAGTATGATTCGCATTATATCCTTAATTTATTAAGAATTCGTATTGTGTATTTTTATACATCGTAGTATTAAAATATATATGAAAAGACACATCCAATGCCAAAGAAAACAAAACAATTGACTTAAAAAATAAGAAATAATTACATTGAAACCACGATAATAGTTTCTAGATTTATTGAAAAGTTTTCTTTAATCTGAAACCCATCGTATCTGTTTTGCATAATGTTGTGTGTTTCGTCTATTGTTACACAACGTTCGCGAATTTGTGTACATCTAATTTAAAAAATTGCAATCGTGAAATATTTCCGAGAATCAATTGCAAAGTTCTTATTTTTAAACTAAAGACTTTTTTCCGTGAAAACTGTAGCTTTATAATGCGGCTGAAACTCACTAAAGACTTTAATACATTACGAGAGCAAACAAATACTCGTATGTAATTTTGCTTTCACAGAGTGCATAAATAATCTGTATCAATTATAAATACTTAAGAAAATTACATTAGCTTATCGAAAAATGCATTATAAAATACCTGACATTATAAAATTAACTTGTGGTCCATTAAGCTACCAGAAATGGAAATTTCTAGAATTTTTAAATACAGTCGACCCCCTATAACACTGTTGATTTTCCGTTTTATATAAATTCCATGTTGTACCAGTCACTTAGATTTTACAAATACGTGTGCTGGGTTGTGAACGGCTCATTTTGTATTTGTAAAATCTAAGTGACTCGTACAACACGGAATTCATATAAAACGGAAAAATTAACACTGTTATAGAGGGGGGTCGACTGTAATGTAATACCTTCTTACATAAGCAGATAATATAAGATTAAAAATTCTGAAAATTTTGCCTACGTCACATCCTCTACCAGTAATAATATGACTTATTTGAAAGTTAGAGGAATATTCTAAGACTGGCGAATAGAAAAATTTACTTCAAGCACAATCTTGTATAAAATTTTTAAATTTTGTATAAACATGATTAGAAAGCGTTATCCGGTTTTGAAAAAAAATAGTGTGTCATTCATTGCAAGCATATGTATAGGTTTTGCTTCGTTAAGTATAACATGCCTGACAGTGTTTTTAGCTTTCATTCCGTTAGAGATGACACTCTTCACGAGTATATATTATAAATTGAAAGCATTACTTTAGGAAATACATTTCATTCAGTCGCGACATCTACAATACAATCATATCATAAAAAGTATACAAGAAGAATACCATAAAATTGCGCTTGAAGTGTAAAGAATAAATGATATCGGAAGAATTATTACTTTTACCTCTTATGTTTTTGTTATTAGTTACATTGCTAGTAGTGCTATAATTATAATGCACATGTCTATGGAAGGAGGAAAACTTGTGATATACTTTTGTCTGGGGATATCACTTCTCGGTATAATAATACTTTGAGTAACTGCTTCAATAATATGTACATCGGTAAGTAGTTTCTAAGGTATTTTGAGTGTTACGAATTATAAATTTTATTTTAAACAGAAATATTAAAGTTAATTATAAACTTTTCTGGTTAAAATTAAATAAAATAACAAAGTTGATTGTAAAATTATCACTAGTCTAAAAAATGTCTGGGAGAAATGTATTACTTTGACTCTCTTAATTTATCATTCATCGATAAAATGCGGGTAAGTAAGTAACAATTGAACAGAAAACGTTAGTTCATGCTGTTATTAAATGTACATAATACTCAATACATGAAACATTGTTATTATTCTCAATGTAAGATGTGGTAGCTGTTGCATACGTAATTTGAATGTATGTCTCTTCTATTTGAATAAAAAATCCTTAGATACTACATAAACCCGAAATGCATTTGTGAATTGCAATAAAGGAGTACCTAACTTGATAGCTATGAGGAAGTCTACTGAATTTTTTATTCAAATTAAAGAGAAATACATTCAGAAAAATTATTATTATTATTATTTACAGCTTCTGTGCTGTATTAAAAGATTGGGATCCACATAACTTGGGAGTAAATGTTTATTATTTCATAATAACTAAAAAATTTGCTTTCACGGTAAAGTATTTTTTTGTTATAATCATTTGACACGTCTGAAAGTAATAAAAATTGTTAAACATATTTGAATTTTGAATTTCAGGTAACGAAAGCAATATTTACTTTCTTCGAAAGCTTAAACGCTATAAACGGTAAAGGCCAGATAAATAAACGCATTAAACATTGGTACTTAGTAATTGCTTCGTGCCTAACCAATGTACTAGTCACATGAAAAGATCCGGGTTTTCTTCATGTGTCTAACAATAAAACAAAATCCACTTTCCACATAGAAAATCCTGTAAGAAGTAAACACCATTAATAGATCACTGATGTACTCCGTTCCCTTGCTCCTTCAATCTACTGACACAAATATTAATGCTGACATTTAAATAACTTGTCAATAAAGTTACATTTCACGTTTGTATTTATAGAAACTTGATGAGCACTGTATGTATATATTGCAATACGGTAAATGCTTTAAATGACATATAAATTTTAAGCTTGAATAAAGTATATATAAATTTTATTTAATGATGCTATATAAATAAAACGTAATTTATTATTTAACTACTTCAACACTATACAGTGCAACAACTAGAAAAATAAAAATGAACCCAACACTTTTCATTTTTCATTTTAATTCAGTTTAGTAGTTAAACGTACATATTATCTGAACACGTTTAGAGCTCATTAACGACCCTTCTCAGCAAACTTGAGAAAATAAATGCTTAAAAATCCTAATAATTTCTTACACATCTTCGCATAACGGATATTTGATTTACACCTCCAATAATCTTCTGCTTATCTTTGTGTGTTTCCGTTTTTTAAATTAACATTACACACTCTTATTGGAATATATACACTTGACATATTTTATAACTAATTTTATACACTATTAAAAACTATTGCAGTTTTACACAGCGAATTTCGACAATTTTGTTGAACAAGCCAATTTAAAAATTCAATCAAACACTTTCATTCAAAACTTTAAATTTATTAAATACAATTTTAGGTATATATACACTTGACATATTTTAAAAGTAATTTTATTANGTTTGCTTGACGCACATTATATACTTTTGTCGAGAGAGTTTTACTTTTTACTATTTTTATTAATTCAATTAAATATTCTGTAACAAAATTATTCTTTTCTGTCAGTGTTTGTGATATGACACCACTGCATTATATTTTGACTAAATTATTTACTAGTAGAATGAAACGGTGTTAAAGTGAATTGAATTTTGTGCGAATTTTATTTTTGTTTTCAATGATTAACATAAGCATGCCAAATCTTACAACGATTAACTTTTATTAAATATGAGTCATGTTATAAATAAAATTTACGTAATCTTTTTCCTACCTTTTTCACCATTGGCATGTTTCTTTCTTCTTCTGCAACACGAAAAGATAAAGGATGGAATTTTACAAAATAAATATGTAAAAGCATCAGAACATTTCGTTGTTTCCTGCAAAAAATATAAATATATTTGTAAACTAGCGTATGAGAACAACAAGGATTAAAATTATTACATTATTTCATACTTCTAACTCTTATATTATATCATAGTATTTGAATTGTAATTACATAGGTTATTTTATGTAATGGTTTATTACACCGAGTAATCAATCTGACACATTTTAAAAATTGTTTAAGCTGTTTACAGCAGACAAATAAAGAATTTTTATAATATGTTACTCGTTTTGTGAAATCCTTACCTAATTATAAAATACAAATACTATGATATGATGACAATATAAAAAGTAATTATTTTGGTCTATCATTATTACGTTTATAGCGATACTCAGATAATGCGAAATGGTACAATTTCATTGGTGAAGTAGACACCAATTGAAAACATATGTCAAATTTCTAATGTTAGTTCTGACAAACTGGTCCGTTCACAGCCGAGTATCAAACAGTAATCTACCGACCAATCAATTTTTCGCAAAAATACACGAAATATATATACTCGCATTCTAGAAAACCATTTTAAACATATTTAGTGATGGCCGATAAACTGTTATTATGTAATTATTCTAATCCAATGCCATCAGTTCGGTGTAACAATAAACTTTCCAAGAAATAAACATCTTAATTAGTCTTTTCATAAATTTGGTTATTTTCAAAGTAATATTTAAATGTTTTCAATTTTTTTTTGAAAATTTAAACATAAACTTTATAAGACCAATCATTTAAAATGTTTGTAATTATTTTAGAAAAAGGGAAAGAAAATGAAAATATTGAAATATCAAAATACAACCAAATGTGAAATTTTAGCAAGGAATGAGAATGGGTTTATAAATGTAAAGTAAATAAAGTTAGAAAATATTATCTTACTCTATCATTTTCATCTTCTTTTGTAGATTTATCTTCCCACGAATATCTTACATTAATACTTTTCCTTTCCTCTGTTTCTACTAGATCTCTTAGCTTTTGCTTTTTTTCAATTTTATCATCGCTTTGATCTTTATTATTAGCTGAAAAATAATAATTTTATAATTTACATTTCAATCTTTTCGTAAATAAACATCATAATTCCGCCATTAACTATAAATAAGTTTATGAAAAAAACAAATATATTATTATAAGATATTCGTGTTACCGTGAAATATCTGTACATATTCAAATGTGCATTTATTCTCACAAATTAATTCAGGATAAAACAGTTATAAATACATATAATGTTTAATGTATAAAAGAAACGACAAAGCAGTACACATGTATAAATAGAAAGTTTTAAAGATATAATCAATATGAATCTAAATATAAACTCAGATTTTTCTTCCATTCTGAATGAATCAAACAGTCAAACATATGATAAACGGAATATTGCCAGTGAAGTGCACAGTGTTTTTCTGTTTGTGTTCCACGGATTATCTCTTGTTTTATAGTTAATTTCATTGTTTCATTTTGTGTTTATATACCAAATGTTATTGATACACAAACACATATTTCGTTTCTATACTTTTTCTGTACGGAAATGTCACAACCATTCCAAAAGCGTCGAAGGTCAAACGTGACCCAATTCAAATATTATGTGAGACTACGAACGATGTTTTTTATTTTCACACTAACTGCGTAGTTAGTGAGGGTGACTTTCATCGTCCGAAGGTCATCGACGAGGGACCACGATGTCACGTGACCCCCATACGTCCGAGCGACCGGACAATAAATGACCAAATAAGGTATGAATTTCTCTACGGCGCGGGAGACTGTCATAAATCAGGGAGAACTGTCAAAAGACGTCAACAATTCTCAGATTTTTCCCACGCTGATCGGGTATATAAAGGGGTCGGATTTTCTACTCGGGGCTGAGCCAGGGCGCTTAAGCCGAAGAAACCCCTCTGCAAACCTCCGAAGAACTTCGTCAAGGAAGAACTCTACATATTGGGAGCGACGGAGCATACACCGTAACAGGACATCGCTCCACATAGCCTTCAAAGGACACCTCGGATTAGAAGACAACGATCACAGAGTGTTTTATCAACGCCCTATAACTGGAGAACGTTGCCTTCAAGGTAAACCCTTGCCATTATAATTTATCTCTCTCTAACGTGAGCTCTCTCTCGGATTTTAGCGTTAGGTTAGAATAGATTTTAGAATACCTATTTATATCTTGATTCGCGTATGTTGTATTTAACATCTTTGTGTAAATTTTCATAGTTGTTTATTAAATGTGTTCGTTAATTTAAACCCGTGTAGTCTTTTGGAACACCTGATTACGACTTCCGACTCCTCCCCACTCATATTTTTAGCCCTCCTATTGCCATCCGACAAACGAGAGCGGGTCTTTCCGACCCGTGCAGATTAAGTGGTCATTAGGCTTTAACCCAGTGGCCCCCTGTTACTCACAATTATAACAGCCGGAAAAATAAAGTTCATTAATATATATTAAAATTATTGGAAATTTCTCGACATATACTTTGAAGGATGCTAAATTAATTTTCAATTAAATTTCATTCGAGAACTTGCCAAGACAATAAATCATTTTGTCAATGTTAATTAAAGTTGTGTTTGTTGCAATTATTTTATTTGTTGGTTTACTCGTAATCATGTTTACTGCTGAATATTTATATAATGTGCTTGAAATTGTTACTTAAACAGTAACAAAATCATCATCGAAATTGTCTTTGACGAAATAAATGGAATCTTTGTAGAAATGAATGATCTATTTCTGAATTGTTTCGAATATAATAAACTACGGCATACAACACACGTGACAGACTGCAAATGGATAACAAATATTAAGTTTTATAATTTAAATAAATTTAAACAGAATTTCTTAATAATTGTTAACAAATTATTTTATAATTCTTTATAATCATTTTGTAACCTTACTTTCATCCTTTACTTTTTCTTCTTCGATTATTTTCGATGACGATTTGAACATGGGGTCATCGTCTTCGTTTTCTTCAGAAATTATTTCTTTTACCAATGAATGCTTTTCTAAAAATTCAAACTCTTTCTTCAGAGGTCTGTTCTCGCAACGAGTAGTTTCCACAAACCAAAAATTATTCTCTTCGTCATCGGAATCCTGTAAAAAGTGAAAAGTTCTTATTCCTGATACAATAAGCTTACAGTAGTCGAAATGTTTTTTTATTACTCGGAAAAAATGATTTATTAATTAATAAAGAATTTGCAGCTCTTTCCATAAGATTGTGATTTTCAGTTTTAAATCTTTACATAATGAGAATTATTAAATTATTTTGAATTAAACTTACAGAAGACGACGATTCTGTTTGTTCCGGAAAATCAGCATTTATATTGGATGTCATTGGCATTTTTGCATTCACTAAAGATTTAAAAATTTCTTCCGCAGTTCTATCGTACTTCCATGCGAAATATTTACTTTTATCACGTAGATCCAGTTTGTTATTAAAACCTAGAGAATAAAAGTAAAGGCAATAAACACAGCAATTCGTAAAAGTTTTTTCGCGTCAATTTAATAATTAGGCCTATATAAGAATTTGAAAGAAAAAAAGAAAGGAAATGACAAATAAACAGATGAAATTCTTATTGTCGAAAATATATTTTGGAAATTTATTCCATTGAAAATAAAACTAAAAATTCAGCAAAAGTCAATTTCAATTTCTCATAATCCATTTGTAACACAAGAGTTAAAAATGGATATAANAAATAAATTTAAACAGAATGAGTTTAACATTAAAAGATTTCTTAATAATTGTTAACAAATTATTTTATAATTCTTTATAATCATTTTGTAACCTTACTTTCATCCAATACTTTTTCTTCTTCGATTATTTTCGATGACGATTTGAACATCGGGTCATCGTCTTCGTTTTCTTCAGAAATTATGTCTTTTACCAATGAGTACTTCTCTAAAAATTCAAACTCTTTTTTTAGAGGTCTGTTCTCGCAAAAACCAAAGAGGTCTGTTCTCCTTTCCAAAAAACAAAAATCATTCTCTTCATCATCGGAATCCTGTAAAAAGTGAAAAGTTCTTATTCCTGATAGAATAATCTCACAGTAGTCGAAATGTTTTTTGTTACTCGGAAAAAATGTTTTATTAATTAATAAAGAATTTGCAGTCCTTTCCATAAGATTGTGATTTTCAGTTTTAAATCTTTACATAATGAGAATTATTAAATTATTTTGAATTGAACTTACAGAAGATGACGATTCCGTTTGATCCGGAAAATCAGCATGTATATTGGATGTCATTGGCATTTTTGCATTCACTAAAGATTTAAAAATTTCTTCCGGAGTTCTATCGTACTTCCATGCGAAATATTTACTTCTATCACGTAGATCCATTTTGTTATTAAAACCTAGAGAATAAAAGTAAAGGCAATAAACACAGCAATTCGTAAAAGTTTTTTCGCGTCAATTTAATAATTAGGCCTATATAAGAATTTGAAAGGAAAAAAGAAAGGAAATAACAAACGGTTTAGATCAAATAAACAGATGAAATTCTTATTGTCGAAAACATATTTTGGAAATTTATTCCATTGAAAATATGGCAAAAGTGAATTTCAATTTCTCATAATCCATTTGTAACACAAAAGTTAAAAGGGGATATAATTATCCGAAATGCATACTCAAATAAATAAAACGTCTCTCTAAAGTTTGTTTTCCATTTTATTGATCGTATAATAAATCTAATAATAAATTGTTATTTTGTTAGCCATCTTAGCGCTCGTATATTTGAACACAAAACTATACAAGAAGCGTATCGCATAAAACAAAAGTCAATTTATTTCTGTTACAAATTATAAATATTACACTGTGATTTGAATTTATTAATTGTGTGCAAAGTGTAAATTGTTACAATCGTAAAATCAATAATTCATATGCAATATTGCTTACTAAAGAGTAATTCCCGGTAGGTTTTTTAATGAAACCCAATATTCAGATATTGGATAAGATGCGCAAACGAAATAATAAATTGTTATTTATCGTTAATGACACTAAAAATATATTCGCCGTTAACATTATAACATTATATTGGGATTTTTAAACATCTGATCGAAAATTACTATTAAATTTATGTTTCTATATTTATTTTTAATATAATTATACAATAAATATGTAGTTTAACTTGCTGACAAAACTTATTTTCAAAAGAAATATCACATTCGATAACACCGAACAAATAACGCATCGACAATAGCCGAAAATATAATATTAATGTCTATTGCTTACGCAACAATTGGAAAAGTGCTTACGTCACGCTAATCACAGAACATACTTAGAATTCCGTACGAAAAGTAATTTTATTTTTTAATTTTGTGATAAGTAAACACAAAGAAGGACGTGGTCGATTTACTTTGCAAAACATTATTTAGAGGCAATGTGGTCCTTATTTATGCGTTATATGCGTGAAGACATTCTGGAAAACTGTACTTGCCATTTCATAGATAATGTGTGAACCCAATCCGCGTGGTGGAAATTTTATATCAAAAATCAGTCGCTGTCTCACAACAATTTTTGTTATTGACTTATTGTTTGACATGGCGTCGAATTGATACCGTGTTTCCCCGCAAATAAGACAGTGTCTTATACTAATTTTTGCTCTGAAAAATGCGCTAGGTCTTATTTTCAGAGAATGTCTTATTTTTTCCAGGAAGAAGAATTTACATTTATTATTAAACAAAAAAATTTCCCAAGTCGAACTTAGACGAGAGTGACGTATATCCGGTGTGTCGAACTGTCGCCTTTTTATAGCGTCAACATCGGACTCGATGACCAATTAGTGCTTACTGAACCGTAGCACTATGCAAATGTCATGTGGCGTGATTCCCGGCCGACCAATTAGCCATCACCAGCCGTGACGTTATGAAAATCTGTGATTCCCAAGTCATAGTCTTATGCCGTGTGGCGTAATTGTCTGCTGACAAATCAATGGCTGTACTTTCAAAAAACCAACGGCCACTTTTAACCATCTGTCGATGACCGTTACGACTAAAAAAACTTCGCTAGGTCTTACTTTCAGAGGGAGGTCTTATATTTCGCAATTCAGCAAAATCAGTGCTAGGTCTTATTTTCTGCGGATGTTTTATTTTCGGGGAAACACGGTAGGTAAACATTCAAAACGATAATACAATGGCACAGTTTCATGTTTCCGGTAATCCAAAACACTTGCGAGTGTTTATGTATAGAAAAAACTAAAAAGCTGCACGCTGTTTATTAAAAATCAATGTTATTTCTTAAATATTAAGCAAGATTAGTTGTAACTAGCAAATATTCTGTGATGCCACAATGCTGGCCTGCAATTTTTCATCATATTCATTATGCATTTAATTTAAAACAACTGAAATTGATACTCTCTTGACCCTGTACATTATACTTTTCCTAATAACAACAGAATGTACCTAAGTGCGTTGGGAGGAAAATATTTCGATTGAAATCACCCAACTTCAAGTCTCGACCAAAAGTTCGTGTGCACTTACTACAGCGCTTTTTCAGAAAATAAAAGTTTTTAGACAACACACAATTCGATTTTAATTGTCTTTGTGAGAGTTCCACAAGTGTTTATTTCACATTTATACATAATTTCGTGTAAAATCTTCATTAAGTCTGACTACTCGGAAAATATCATGCACGAACCCCTTTAATTTTTAATTATCAAAATTGAATAGTATCAATGTATCTTACATAGAAGTTACCGTGCAAACTTTTTCTTTTAATGTAAGCGTATTTTGAGATATCAAACGAAATAGCCGTAAACACAGACAGACACATATTACTGTTTAAGTAACAAAAATAATTATCTAAAGTATTTTTGACGAAATAAATGAAATCTTTGTAGAAATATACATTTTGATATTAATGTTATATTTTGAATAGTTTCGAATATAATAAATTACGACACCCTTCACACGTCAAAGACTGCGTATGGGTAATTAATATTAAGTTTCTTAATTTAAATAAATTTTAATACAATGAATTTAACATCAAATCATTCCTTAATAATTTTTAAATAAAATATTTTATGAATCCGAAAATATTTTATAATGTCTTTGTGATCTCACCTTTATACAATTTTCCCACTTTCTCACTTACTGCCAATGTTTGTTCATCTACGTTCAGTTTTTCCTGTAAAAAGTGAAAAATTCTGATTCCTGATATAACAATCTTACAGTACTCGTACGGTTTTTATTTATTAACTCAGAATATATTTATATAATAAGAAATAAACAATTTGCAGCTATATTAAATAAAACATTTTATAAGATTGTGCGTTTTTGTCACGGGTTTTACAGTTGTAAATCGTTAAATAATAAGAATTAGTATCAATTATTTTTATTTAATTGTAACTTACTAAAGCTTTTTCTTCTTCTCTTTTTCTCCGTGCCAGATCCAAGATAATATGAACGATTGTGGCGACGGAATCTTCCAACGTTACTTTTTTCTGTTCGGATGATCCATGTTCATTAATAACGCCTTCTTCGTCTGAATTAAAAATTATATAGGAATTTGAAAAAGAGAAACAAAGCAAATGACAAACAGTTTACACCAAATAAACATGAAATTGTTATTCTAGAAAGATATTTTGAAACTTTATTTTATTGCAAATCCACAAAAATAAAAATTGAAAATAAATTTTAATGTTTAAATCAATTAATTCTTGCTTAGAAATTTCTTGATTTAAACGATATTCTCGGTTTAAATAAATGAACGGATATTTATTAGTTTATACTCAGAAGCTTACTTTACCTTGATTGATACAATTTAATAGAATGTCTAAGTAAAATGTATTTTAATATTCAGTTTATAGATTAACTTCAAAAATGTAAATAATCAAATGTTCATTTATATCTTTATAACAAAGATAAAAAATAAAGGGAAATTAATGGATTATTTTAACCAATTAAACATAATTGCCAGATTCGTCACCCTTTCGTTACAAGGTTTTTTTTATAAATGTGCATTGTTTGCAATTATCTAGCGGTGAAGATCGATTTATTTGCTATATCTATATTCAGCAATGTCGATAAATAATGTAATAGACAGTTTGTAAATATAAAATTTAGCATTGTTTAATTAATTAATGACCAAAACCTGAAATGTAGTCAAAATCAAGTCGTAAGTATACATTGAACACTAGAACATTAGCCTTTAGATTAGAGTTTTGACAACTTTTTATAAGATTATTTTAAATTAGCCATTGAATTGAATTTTATTTTTGAATATCTTATTTTATTATAAAAATGTGGTTTCAATTTCTGTTAGCTTCTTTTTATTCATCTTAATGGAACCGAATATTTAAATATTGGAAAAGATACAGAAATAAAATAAAAAATTGTTATTCATTTGCGGAAAATCGTCTAATGCTCTAATTTTCTCCAGCAGAAAATGAATTCAAAGTTCAACCGTATCAGATTTTAATTAAGATTTTTATACATCCCGTAAATAATTACTATGAATTGCGTGTTTTTATATTCATTGCGAACACGTTATTAAACAGTTAATATAATTATATAATATAAAGAATTTAACTTACTTATACAATCCATTTTTTGCGCACTAATAACTTTCGATAATTTAACATACAACAATCGATATATTTCTTTAACAATACTTGAAAACTTATTCTTATAACTTATTGTTTATACAACAATGAAAAACGTGCTCACGTAATCGAAGCGCGTGCTAAGCATTACGCTTGTCAATCAGTCTTATTTGTGGGGTTTTTTGTGGGTAATTATAAAGAATGACATGTGCGATTATAAGAAAGGATGTTTGTTTGTTCGTTTGGTAGAACGGCCTAGAAGTATATACTTTTAGCCCGTTCTAGCTCATACTTGTAACGTAAATCATGTTCGACCGATTGCTAAGAAATTCGGTTCGGTACTTACTTTCAAATATTTCTAATGTACAGCATGTCGTACATTCCATTGCGAAATATCGATTGCATATCTATAAATTAATTAATTTTTTTTTCTTTTCGTTTCGTTAGTTATGGCTACGCAACACTCGGGAGATCTGCCTAGGGGTTCCTTCTGTGAGGTCTTATAAAGGGAAACTGGCTTCTATTTAGGCGTTACAAAAGTGAAGAAACCCAAAAAACTCCACGTAGTCAGCCTGTTCGAGCGCGGCGCGATTTCAGGACCAAACTCCCAGTGTTCATGAACAAGTCTATTCAATGTGCGGGGACAATGTCCGCTTGTAACTTTTAAAGGATATATCGGCACAGGATGAAAATGGATTCTTGCGGAAAACACCTTAGCGTTGGCCATAGATCCGCGAAACAAAATGACACAGAACGTAGTGTTTTTGTGGTTTCGGTATAAATATCTTTTGGACTTTATTAGTTATTTCTCGATCCCTGACGGTCTTTTTCTGTTGCCAGTTGAAATTAAACCAGATTGGTTTCTGAGAAAGACGATTGTTTATTAATACAATTCGACACCGTCTTTTGTTCGATGCTGAAGGAACCTTGTACCTCACTAACATTTCCATTTTTGTTTGTCTTGTCTAGAGCAGATTACCACAAATCAATATCATTATTCAACATCGTCATTCCGCGACTTTCACTCCGTTTAACAATGGTGTATTAATTTAAGCCAGTTGTGGTTGTGACTGATACAATTATGTTTAATGCAAACTGAGGATGAGGAAAATTTTCCTTAAACTTGAATCATATGATTTACTCTATCTTTAACCAATCCTATGTCACAGGAAAACTCGATCGCGACAATTGTGTTTTTTCATTCACAACGCAAGTTCTCTCACAATACCAAAATAAGCTGTGTCATTAATATAAGTACAAGCAGAGTTATATAATGAATTACAATCAAAATTTTCATTTTAACCACAATCGGATCAACTAATCTTTCATGGTGATAGTATCATGTCAGCATTCTCCTGGCAAGTGACATTGACAAATTTCAATTCGCGACAAATTTATATATACGTGTATATCCAATCCATTAATAAGGATATAAATCAAGTTACATACTTAATTCCAAACAAAAATTCATTCAAATACATAACCGTACCACAATGTT